AGCACGAGGTTCTAGGGAACTTCTGTACACACAATTTTCCAAGTACTGTTCTTTCTATAGCTTTTGTACACAATTTTCCCTGTACTGTTTTTTCTATAGCTTTCATCTTTAAAAAAAAGTGAAATCACCTCGTATAGTCTTTTGAAAAATCTAGAACAGTGCACGAATAACGTAAATGAAAACCGGTTAAATATACTTTTCAAGCCAAGTAGTTTAGTGTTTTTCCTTAATCTTAAATATGGACCTTAGTCTGCAAGATACCTTGCAAGTATTCATGTTCTTGTAGTTACAATGCAACTTTTCATCTGGATTATGAATTTAGTGGTTTTTAGTTAACAACGCCTCACTAGCAAGCGTGAGAGAGCTGTCTCTTTAGCTCAGTTGTTAAAGCACTTGTCTAATATAGAAACGAATTGATATATATCGTGTGAAAAAAAAACAAAAAACCCACAGATATACAGTCTTCAATCGTGTCAAATACGTGCTTTCCAAACAAGTTCCTTATGCCAAATACGTATGAAGATAAGGGAATAAATGTCATGTTAACATAATAGAATATCATATTTTTAAAAATAGTAAATCTATTGCTGTAAATAGATAAGGAAATGAATGTTGTGTTAACAGAATAGAATATCATATTTTAAAAATAGTAAATCTATTGCTGTAAATAGATAATAGATAAGGAAATGAATGTTATGTTAACAGAATAGAATATCATATTTTAAAATAGTAAATCTATTGCTGTAAATAGATAATAGATAAGGAAATGAATGTTGTGTTAACATAATAGAATGTCATGTTTTAAAAATAGTAAATACAGTGCCTTGCAAAAGTATTCACCCCTACCAATAATGCCACATTTTGATGAAATACAAATAATATAAACAAGTTTTTAATGAACTTGTTTTTATTCAAATCTCTATTTTATTCAAACTTCTACTGATCAAACTTAACACTGTTAGGTGTGAAGGAGATTGATTGTCAGCAAAACCTGCAAAGAAAATATGTAAATTGAAATTTGCTGATTGCATAAGTATTCAGCCCCCCAAGTCAATACTTAGTGGAAGCACCTTTGGCAGCAATTACTGCTGTGAGTTTTCTGGATAGGTCTCTACCAGCTTTGCAGAATGGGATGGTGTAATTTTTACCCATTCTTCCTGGAAACATTGCTCCAATTCTGACAACTTCGTTGGGCATCGTTGATGGAGTGCAATATTCAAGTCTCGCCATAAATTTTCCATTGGATTCAAGTCAGGACTTTGATTGGACCACTCCAGGACATTCACTTCCTTCTTTTTAAACCAGTCCAATGTGGCTTTGTGCTTCGGGTCATTATCCTGCTGAAATATGATTTTTCCACCCAGTTTTAGATTCTTGGCTGACTCGAACAGGTTTTCCTCTAGGATTCGCCTGTACTTTGCATCATCCGTCTTCCCCTAAATCCTGACCAGCTTTCCAGTCCCTGCTGATGAGAAGCATCTCTATAACATAATGCTGTCACCACCATGCTTGAATAGTTGGGATGGTGTTAACTGGGTTATGTGCTGCATTGGGCTTGCTCCAGACGTAACGCTTTGAGTTTAGACCAAAAAAGCTCAATTATTGTGTCGTTTGACCACAAAACTTTTTGCCACATGTCTGCAGTATCATTTACATGCTTTGTAGCAAACTACATACGAGATTTATGGTGATTCCTTTTCAGTAATGGCTTCTTTCTTGTCACTCGCCCATACAGGCCAACTTAATATGTAGAGACCGGATATTGTCTATGTACGAACATTAACTCTCATATCAGATATGGAACTTTGCAAATCTTTTAAAGTCACTGTTGGCTTCACGTATCATCCCTAACCAGTTTCCTGCTTGCCCGGCTGCTTAGTTTGGTTTGGTTTGTTTTGAATTTCGCGCAAAGCTACACGAGGGCTATCTGCGCTA